TTTTTTTTTGTATGATATATAACATCATCATCACGTTTTAATTTCTATGGACACACTTTCAAAGTGCTCATTTAAAGCAATTACCTTGAATCATATAGAAAAATTTTACCTTTTCTTTCGAATATCATAAAGACATTATTCAGCATTTTGTTTTATTAATTGCTTCAATTTTTGTAAAATTATTCTGACCTTTAATCGTCATTTGACAGAAATTATTTTTAAATTATCTTTCTAAAAAAAAAATATTCAAGGAAACCTATATCATGTTATTGTAGAACTAAAAAAAAGGACGAATTTTTTCTCTAATAGTTCAAGGTAGAATGATATCAATTCTTTCTTCTTCTTTTCGAGATGTTCAGTTGAGAAATAAATTCATGACATTGAGTTGTTCAACTAATTTCTACCTGTTGATATAGAATTATGATTTTGAATCGAATTTCTTAATACTTACATTTTCATAATTTTAGGTTCTATTGATTCACGTCGTCCTTTTGTCACACCACGTGAAGTGTGTGATAAATCCAATGCATTTCTTGTTGGTGCAACCGCACTTGTTTCATCTCTAGATTTACCTGAATCATTTCTTTCTTCTTCACGTTCTTTAACAATTTCTTCATCATCCAATCGTTTATTACTTGATATGCGTGAAATCAAACTTGATTTATTAATCAAACAACTAAAATGTATTGTTCTCTGTTACTTAAAATGTTCATCACACGAACAAAAAAGTGAAACATTTGATTATTTGAATTTATGTAAACGTATCTATGATGCATTATCACATATAAATAATCCAAGTGATATATTAAAAGAAATGCGTATATGCGATTTAATTGATTGGATATGGAATGGTACAAATGGTTTTTCATCATCAAATCAAATCTATTTAATTGATAAAACACATCCATTAGCATCCTATGTACAAATTCTTCCATATGAATTATATAATTATCGAAAATTTTTTGAATCAATGGGTGTTAAATATCAACCTGATTCAGCTAAAATCGAAGATATAATACGTAATCAACAAATTTATGATGAAAATTTATTTAAATGGATTAAAGATACATATACAACCGATCGACGTTTATTACAAATTGTTAATGATATGGAAGTTAAAACAACAAAACAAGTCCCACCAACAAAAAATATTTTAGACGAACAAACAAGAATAACATTTTCAAGTACATTAGATTTGTCTGAAGAAAAAATCTATCTTTATCTTCCAGGTAAAAAAATTTGTAAACTAAATATTTTTGTTCTATGTTATATTTATAGATATATTTAATAAACAAAATAATGTGAAAGAAACTGTTGTTCAAGCATTAACAACAATATCAAAAGAAAAAAAATGTCAATTATTAACAGAAGAAGATTATTTTATACGTAAAATGTCTGGTGCTGAATATCAAAAAAATCTTTATGATCATTATCGGGCATATAATGATTTACTTTTACCTAATTTAAATGTTTTACCTAAAAATGTGAAAGATACATTAGTATTATTTGCATTAGATCATGCCGATGCATTAATGTTGAATATATTAAAACAACATTGTTGTATACCATGTACACCAAATGGAAGAATATTAAATAAACCATCAAAATTAATACATCCCTATTGTCGTTTAGCATCTCTCTATTCAGATATTGATTCATTATTTCCATATGGTGGACAAGATTCGTATTTACGAGAAGATCGATTAAATGTTTTAAAATTACTTGGTAAGAATTTATTAGAAAAAACAAATTTTTTCCTTGAGAATAGAGAAGTCTTTTGACATTGTTATTGTTGATATGTATATATATATATATTCAATTAACAGATGTTGTCATATTTTTTTCTAAAGAATAATCCTTGAGGTTTTGTTTTAATTAATACCTACCGGTTAAATCCAGCAAAACATCTGACTATAATCTATGATTTGACATATTTATAACCTATGGTTTTGCATGATAAATAATCATTATATATAGTTCATGGTAGAATATGATTTGATTTAATGACACAACTATTATCGTTGATAAATTATTTTCAGACATTAATATAAAAATACTGTCACTATATGCGTAGAATGTTGTCATATAAATCTTTTGAATAGTTACTATTATCATTGTTCAATAATACATTAGAGAATTAATTGAAGACATATGACTGAACAATGAAATTTATAATGTAAATATCATATTTTTCAATACAGTGGGGGCGATGGGAGCGGTCACCTTTCCCTCCCTTTAGAGATTTTTTACAGCAAAATGAAATATCTTCAACTGACAGATATAGTTTATATATGAAAATAATCTATTATTTATTCTAGGCATGAAATGTGATGATAATCTTGTAACATGGCCTGAACTTGTTGAACGTTGTGAATCTATTCAACGTATGCGTGATTATGATTTAGCACATGAACGTTCATTAGCACTTCTTCAAATTCTTAATGATATGTTATCAATATCATCTTCAAATACAACACGAACATTTGATGAAAATGATGATTCAACAGATCGTCGTTCACGTCAATCAACATCAATATCACGTGATAAACCACCAAATACTCAATCATCAATTATTAATACACATGAAGCACTTCAGGATAAAGAAGCACGTACACGTGCATCAGTACAATTACGCGAATTACCATTTATACCAATAAAACCACGACCAAATGAATTAAATGGTATTAGTTTAACTTGGATGGGTGATAAATATATTGGAAGATTATTTAAACCAAAAGATATTTTATCTCAACAATATGAACAATTAGTTTGTTGTTCATGGCCAATAGCACAACAATCAAAAAATGCTCAAGAACAACCAACTATAACAAAACAAGTTGAACATTTTCTTGGACTTGATGATACAACTAAAATTGAATTACGTGATGTACTTAAACAACTTGATGAACTTGCTAAATTAACTGTTATCAATGGTCCAAGTTCAACTATATATAATCATCAAATAACATCAAAATATATTCTTGGTAAGATATTCATATTAGAAGAAGAAAAAAAAGAATAGTATTAGCAAATAGTCGAAATACGATATGAGTTAGATTTGCTTTCGAATAGAATCATGACATTTCTTTCTGATAAGGGAAATATTCTCACGGATTTCAAGCATTGACTTTATTCCAATAAGACTATCTGTTGTATTAAATTTCTTATTTGTAATACAGCTTTCCTATAGAACTTAAAATAGAGAATTCCAGTGTGTAATTTTGTCATTAGTGAGTTTATCATGATTCTCAGATGACTAATGGATCTAATTATTTATAAAATTTCTGGTAAAAAACATTTTATTTCGAGCGTTTTGAACATGTACGAATCTGACTAAGAGATTCATTATAATCGTGATAATTCTTCCATGATATGGCATTTGTTAACCTGAAAATAATTTTAGCCGAAAGTTAAGAAAAAGAAAATTCGTTTAAATACATTAATTAATATATATATCGAAAAGAACATGTTTGTTGAAAACATAAAGTTTCAAGTATAAAACGTTAAAATGAACAAGTTTCTACATGAGTTTAATTGAAACATATATACTTGTATAACTGAATATGATTTTTCTTTCTAGACATGAGCTATTCAATATATGATTATATTCAATCATTCTGTTTTCCTCATATAAAAACCAGTGAAAATTTATTTGAATATCGTTCATCATCAATGACATCGGCTCAATTAGAACAATGTATACGTGATATACGTGAATTTTTTTCACAACGTCGTCTTATTTATATGAATGATTCATCATCAACTGATACCTATTTATTTCTATCATTATCACAATTATTATGGCAAGCACCCACACGTACATCAATATCAAATAATTTAAAACCATATTATTATCCAATATCATTATCATTACATAAACAATATAAGAATTTTTTTCTTGATTTATTACAAGTTAAAATGCAAATTGATGGTAAAGATCTTTTAAATATAATTGAACAAATTAAAAAAAAATATGGTACAAAACCAATAGATAAAGATGATTTAACATTATTACAAAATATTTATACATTATTAATTGAACAATATTCAAATATTTTTAATACAAATACAATATTACATTTACCCAATGTTGATTGTGTTCTTCATCCTGGTTCAACATTATTTTTTTATCCATTTGAAAGAGAACAAATGTGTAAGTTTTCAATGCGATCGATTTAATTAGTCAATATACTTCATTTTTTTTTCTTGCGCCCATGTATATATACATATATATATATATGTACTACATATGATAGGCGAGTTAGGTCATCCATGACTTCACATATTCTCGATCCTTCCCATATATGATGTAAAATCATTGATCTATTCAATTAAATATAAGCATATACATACATACATCATCATTTCTATATGTACCTTTCACAAACACTTGACTAAATATACAATACATTTAAATAAATGCGACAGTAGTTTCCATTATTATTGATATAACCTTGTCGTCGTCAGCATCATTGTCGTCTTTCTTTTGTTGTATTTCAAAGAACGACGTACAGTACGTTTCTCTCTCTCTCTTCTGTCACTCATCTTATCGCGCTTCCATCTATTGACACAATTGTTGGTTGTTGTGGTTGCATTTCTAACCGTACAGACTGTAAAAGCATTATTATTACAAGCGTCGATACGATCGATAGTAGTAGAATGTCGACGACACCATTAAAACGCAGTAACCATACAATCGTCTTCAAATTTCCATCGACAGTTAATTGTAAATAAACTAAAAAAAACATGATATATTATTTTTATTGAGTATACATACATATATATATCTACTATATGTCAATAAATATTTTAGTGTCAAATCCATCATCATCATCATCACAAGATGAACATTATGTACATCCATCTGTTGATCGACGTGTTTGTCTTAAAGCTGGTGTTAAAGTACGTAAATTACCCACTGTAACAGCAACAGCAACAGTATCATCAACTCCACCCATACCATTAATTGAATCACCAACTGTTTCAACAAATCTTCCAAGCAATTCAACATCACGTTTATTTCCAAAAATATTTGGTAATAAAAAATTAGAATCAATCTTAGCACGTCTTGATGATCCACATATAAATCCACAATTAGTTGAAAATATGGATGAATTAAATCCAAATATTGTCTTAGAATTTTTACTTGAATCAAATAAACATACTCAAATAACAAACAATCTATCTGATGATGATATTGTAATTATATTAAAATATTTTAATGATTTTCTTATACATGGTTATCAAGGTAATTTTCAAAAATTGCGTGAATTAAAAATTTATAAACCACTCTGGGGAATTTTATCTAATGATGATAAACAACAACAACAAATACCTATACAACAATGTTGTTCATTAGAAAATTTTTCACATGTTTATATCTTAAATGAAGAATGGTCAAATATTATACGTCGTTCATTTAAACGAAATTTTTTTAGTGAACAATTTCATGAGAAGAAAACCGTATTTTTGATGCAAAAAAAAATTGAACCATTAAATAAAATCTTTTGTCATATACGTTTTAATATCTTAAGTGATTTGGAAATCTTTTCACAATTATGTTTACCATATTTTCGAAAATTAGATGTTAAATCACAAGCAAATCTATTAAAATATTTTATTGAAGAAATTGAAGAAAAATTATTTCCACATGATAAAGAACAATGTAAAAAACAATTACATGATCTTTTAGAAATATTTACACAAACATCAAATAATCAAAATGATTGTTTACAAAAAACACCAGCAGGAATTGCAAGATCATCAGTAAAAGAAAAACAACAACTTTAAATTTTCATCAATTTGTTTTTTTGTTTATTTAGCGTGATCCACCTGAAATTTGTCCAATACATGAATTATATGATCCAAATATAAAAAATATTCGTTCGATTCTGGGTGTTCATCATTTCCCTGATGAACAATTTCATACACCAACATTATTAAAATTTCTTAAAGAATGTGGCCTTCGTTCGTACATATCAACAGATAAATGTAAACAAATTATGGAATCAATACAACTTAATGTTAAACAAGAAGGTTGGACAAATGAACAACGTAAACGTTCAAAATATTTATATGAACATTTATTAACAAATTGGACACGTTATGATAATTCAATATTAGATTATAAATTTCTTGAACCCTATCAAATGCGTTCAGATAATGATGATTTATTACAATTACATGAACAATATACCAATAGTTCAGATACAAATTCAACAGAATATTTTCGTTTTACATGTATTAAATTAAGTGATGGAGAATTAATGAAAGATGCAAAATTATGTTGGACATCATCCTATTTATTACCGGAATTTATACGTCTTGAACATTATAATGATATTAATGATCAAAAAGAATCTATTGAACAAAATGCTTTAGAATTTTTTAAATTAAATAAAAAACCATCATATGCATTAGTACAAAAAAATCTTTCGAATTTAGCAAAAAAATTTTCATTAAAAAATCAACAACAACTATTCAAGTTTGTTTAAATAATAATAATAATAACCATTTATTATTTTTTTTTGTTTTTTCTAGTGATTTTAAATCTCCTTCAGTAACAATAAGTCAACATATTGTTGATGATATATTAATACCAGTATTAAAATCGATTTATAATTATTTTCAATATGAAATTAAAATCGAACGTCGTGTTGAAATTTATAAAGAATTAGAAGATCGTGAATGTATTTATTCTCGTACACGTCGACAATTTTTACCAGCAAAATATTTCTGTTTAAATTTACCAATAACAGATGAAATACCACCATTTATATTCTCATTAGATACTGAATTTCATGAATATAAAGAATTTTTTCTACAAATTGGTACACAACCTGAACCACATCCAATGTTATATGGTGATATATTACGGAAATTATCAAAAGTTTGTGAACAAGATTATTTAAATTCAAATGAATTATGTAAATCATTGAAAGCTATGGAATGTTTCTTTAAATATTTAGCAACAAGTACAACAATTACTCCACAAACTAAATTACCTGGTAAGAATACATTAACTAGTCATCAGTGTTTTATCTCGGTTCCTTTTTTTGAGTGGGCGAAATGAATTTTTCGGGTGGGAACCACCTATCAGGGTGTGTGTGGGTTTGGGTGTAGATATAGGTGTCCTTCTGCCTTAAATCCACACCCACACTCACCCGCCGCTGGTACCGATCCCTATTCCGTCGGACCCTACCGCCCATCCGCTAGATAAAGCACTAGTCTTACATAGAATTTATGGGATTAAAAATCAATTTTTCTAACTTTAACAAATAATCTGATGTTTATCTCATTTATTCTTAGGTCTGTATCTTGTATCGAATGATTTTAAATTAATAAAATCTAATGATATTGTCATTATGGATGATAAAACCAAACTTGATTATATGACAAAATTAAATCAAGATAAATTTATGTTTAATCCTAATGAACGTGTACTTAAACTTGATCCTAATCCTCCATCTTCAAATTCGAAACCAAATAATACGGCAACAAATTTAAAAGATATTATTGATAAAATATTTGTTAGTCAACGTCCAGTATTATTTAGTCAGAAATATGAAGAATCATTTTCAATAACAATCCCTGAAGATGAAGAATCACATCGTCAACGATTTTTATTTAATCTTGAAAGAAAATATAATCAATTATTATCATCACGTCATTTACATCGTTGTATGGCACGTGTTATTGCTAATCATGTTGCACGACAACAAAATCCAAAGATAATATCACTTGATGATGTTGAAAATTTAATTCGTCAACGTTTAACATTTGTTAAAGTCACATGTGTTGAATATCTTGAAACAAATTTAATTTATAAAAAAACTCAACAAAAAATCGATACATCTGTTGATGAAAAAGCAGTTTATCTTGTTGTTGAAGGAGAAGAAAATGTTATTTTATATATTAGCATGAAACATACAGAACAACCTTATTTTACATTATGTTTAGCACGTGCATTAAGTCCATGTTTAGGTTTATCAGAATTACAATTAGATAATTCTGTTATGGCTGCTCTTTTAGCAACAACTATTGGACAAATGGCTAAATTATTAAATTTAGTTAACGTTGCAACTGAAGAAAATATTTTATCTATACTTAAATTACAATATATACCATCACCAGGTAATGTTTATGGTGATGATATTGAACAATTACAACAATTTAATATTGAACAACATCAAATTTTACCAGGAGATTTATGTGTTTATCGTGTGAATGATTTATATATATATTGTGAAGTTGAAAAAATTATTAAAGAATCATTAAATGACAATGATAATAATAATAATACGAAAGATGAATGGTCATATAAAAAATCTGATTCATCATTATCATATGTATTTATATGTAAAATAAATGATGCTAATGAAACACAAAAAATCGATGCACCAAATTTTTATGTACTTGAACATTGGTCAAGAATATTCGATGCTGTACATACGAAACCAGTTGATGAAAGAGAATCATTTAAATCATCATCAACAACTACTCAGGGTAAGAAAATTTAAGACAAAAAAAACTAAATTAATGAAATCAGAGACCGAATGATTATTTTGTATATGAGTGAATGGCAACTACTTTGAGTATGATGTAGATTTGATAAGTAAGCATCGATTGCTATTTTTGCATGATTGGTTCGATGTGTACATTGATTACACATCATAGATCGGGAATATAGATGACCTATTTTGTATGAAAGTACATTTATAATATTTCTTCAATTTAATACGATGTAGAATCTAAACAAAAAAAATCATTGTAGAGGAAAATGACATGACATATCAAATGAAAGATTATATAAGCAAGTATGTCACGCTCCACAAAAAAATGATAGATATGTTACCCTTCTCATGACTCTGTTAAACTCAGCGGTAGTACGGAAATATTAAAATGATAAATTTGCCATTCACTCATATATCTATATGTATACATATTGCTCTAACATCTCTATCCTTTTGCTTGTCAAAGCTGCTTCTTACATGTGTGATCATCAAAAAATGTGATTCAATTGATAAATTAACATGCTTTGCACAATATCATATTTCTATCAATGAATAGAATAGTTTCACATACACACATTGTTGAAATGAACGCATTGTATATTTCCATCATCTAAAATGAAAAATCTTTCTGATACTACATTCGGTCTCTTTCTATAACCTAAATTTAACTATTGAATCACTGTGCGTGTGTCGTCTATAGGCAAAAATGGTGATAAAGATAAATTCAACGATGAAAAAACTTCTTCCTCTTCGAAACGTTCAGGAAAATCGAATAATGCTGGTGATACTACAAATGATACGAATAAGCCTACGAATGGTTCAGATAATTTTAAACCTTACGGTCAAACATCAGCTGATAGTGATTCATCGGGTAATGCAACATCCGAATCTCAATCAGAATCCGAATCAACTCAAGCCAACGAACAAGATATGATTGATAAAACTGAACTTGAATTAACTAAAACAGAAATCTATAATGCTGTTCGACAAGCATATCAATTAACTGGACAAGATCGTAAAAAAACAGTTAAAAAATTATTATTAAAATGGCATCCAGATAAAAATCCCGGTCGTGAACGTTTTGCTGCTGAAGTATTTAAACATTTACGTAAACAAATTGATCATTTCGAAAATGATCCATTAACATCATTTTTTAATACATTCAATAATTTTCATCATACACCATTTTCAACATCGGATCCACGATTTAGTTGGAATAAATATTCCAATACAACAAAAAGTGATCCGCATCAAAGTTCATCATCAACAGCAACAGGTGATGAACGTTTTGGTAGTTTTGATAATTTAAATAAAGATACAAATGATGATACAAAACGTAGTTATCAAGATATACCTAAAGATCCTACCGATACGACGAACGAAACAAATGGAAATACAAATAAAAGTCGTTTTAGTCCACATCGTTCATCATCATTTCGTACAGCTCGTGAAGAATGGCAATATCGTCGTCAACATGGTTTTCAACGACGTCATGGATTTTTTAGTCCAACAGAAGAAAATACAACCAATGGTACAAGTACGACAACGAATGGAACAAATACTCAAACATCATCATCAACTGGAGGAAGTAAGTTTATTACTTTTCATTTATTTATTTTTGCATGTAGTCCACACACGCACAGAACGATAATTTTTATTTGTTTTTTTTTTCTTTTCTTTCTATCATATTAGTTTCTGATCCTATTTTTGGTGAGTGCTCTTTGCTTTGTTTTTTTGGGTACATTTGTGGGACTATTCATTGTAGAATGCTTTTAATGATTTGATAATAATCATTGATAGAAATTTTAAATTAAAAATATATTTTACGATAACGCGTTTTTTTTTTTCGTTTCTTTTTATAGAAGAAAGTCCAAATGCACGTCGTAAACGTAATTATCAACAATCAGAAGCTGATCGATGGCTTAAACAAGCTCAACATGATTTAGAAAGTTCATATAGTGATATGCATTCATCTACTGGTCAAGTTGCATATGATTGGGCTTGCTATAAATGTTATCGAGTAAGTTGATGCTAAATGAAAGAAAAAAGAATGAGTGATAGTATGCATAAAGTCAAAGGGTATGATAATAACAATCGAGAATTTTGTATATAAGAAAGAATAGAAGATATTATAATAATCAAATAAATCAATTTTTATTTTAGGCGGCTGAAAAAGCCTTGAAAGCTTATCATTATTATAAAGATACAGGCAAAAATATGACAGCTGATATTCCTGGTCTATTAATTGGTGTTGATAATGATGTACGTGAAATAGGTTATAAGTTATACAAATGGATCGGTGATCCAAATCGAATGCAATATCCAAATGCAGCACGATTTGCTAAAATTCCAGCTGAAGTATTCACTGTTTGTAAGTTTAATTTTTATATCTATGAAATTTTCGAAAAATAAACAATTCTTTTTCTTCTTCTTATAGCACAAGCTGAACAAGCTATTGAATATACAAAAGAATTATTGAAGAAAATCGAAGATATTATGTATCCGTGAATATTGCTCGATCTTCCGTTTGTTTTTCTTCCTCATCTCTAGTCAAAACATACTTTTTTTTTCTCTTTTCCTTTTTTTTTACAGTATATGCTTGCATTCATTTTGTTGTGACGTGTTTTTTTTTCTCTTCATCTTCAGTTTCTTCTGCTTCTTCTTTTCATTTTTTTTTGTTTGCTATTCAACACACAAATTACAAAGAGATGGTTTAATCATCTCTGTCTATCTATCTATCTATCTATCTCATATCTCAATTTGAGCCTTTTTGTTCTCTTCATTATTTGTTATACATTATTTTTTTTTATGCATATATATATATATCTAAGCTTAGAATTAGCAACATGTTTGTGTGTGTTTTACAAACAAGAAAAATTCTAAAAGAGATGAGGGGGAAATAATGTACAGAAGTTTTATGCTTTGTTCGTTTTTTTTTCTTGTCATTCTATTACTTTATTATTACTTTCTAGTTAACGTTTACTAGTGATATAAAAACGATTTCATCAATTCTGGAGATGAGCTGAGAGAGGATTGATTTTTTTTTCTTCTTCTTTTTTTTCTCATTTTTTTTTTGTTCGCAAATGTGTTCGTGGTGATGAAGATAAAGTTGGAAATAAAAGATAGGAAATCATTAAAATATGATTTAAATCTAAAGATTTTAGTTACGTATACAAGATAATGAATATTTGCTCTTGATAGATATCTATCTAAGATTCATTTGTAAGTTATTTAGTAAAGTAAAAAAAAGAAAGAAAGAACGAGAGATATGGTATCAACTAACAATCCTTGGCATTTACTTCGTGAACAATTAATGCAAATAGAAGATATTATGGGTCCATCGGCACCCTATGAAAAATCTATGAGAAATATTCTCAATGATAATCAATGGATTGAATTCGATATTGATATATTAATATCTGAAAAGGTTAATAATAAATCAGGTTCAGTTATTTCGGTTAATAAATTTAATCAATCAATTGTAATAACAAATATTTTAAATAATGATGAATCACTTCATCTATTTGATATTATTCTTTCATTCAATGAAATGAATTTTAATGATATGCCAAAAGATACAGCACAATGTATTATTAATGCACATCAAGGTAAAATTGTTAAACTACGTATTCGTCGTTTACAACCATTGATGATTGAAAAAATTGAATTGAATTTATATAAAAATAATCGGAGAAATTCACATGAACTTGGTTTTACAATTGATGGTGGACTTGGAAAAAATAAAGAACATGATTCAGGTTTATTTATTATTGGTATTAAACAAAGAGGTCGTGCAGCAACGAATGGTTGTTTACGAATTGGTGATCGTTTATTACAAATAAGCAATACATATATTACTATTAATTTACAATGTATTCATTTAGATGATGCATTAAAATTAATTAAACGTATGAGAAAAGAATCAACATCAATTACACTTGTAATTGCTCATCCAACATAAGAATTAAAAATTTTAACGAAAAAGAAAAATTCTTGATTTTGTTTTGTTCATCTTGATTAATAAATAGATTTGTTAGATTATAGAGAAATCTACTCAGTTTTATTACTAATGAAAAATAACGATCACGTGTAACAAGAAAAAAAAAAGAACGAAAGAATCTGTATATGATTTATAGCTATATAAAGTTATTTGTTGATGAATCATCGTCGTTTAGATAAATCCGATAAGCTTCAAATAAATATTTATTAATATACAAAATTCTTTCTTTTCTCTCTCTTTCATGTTGAATCTTTTCTTATATTAATATATAATCGAACGATATGAAACAACAGATAGGGACTTATTTTCATATTCTTGATCGTAATAATCTTTCGGATGGTACACATATATTACATATTAAAGAATTACCACCACCTTATTCATCATTAGAAACACAACAATCGATTGTCGATGATTGGAAAGAGAAATTTATTGAAATTCAACCATTATATGGTCATTTAAATAAATATGGTTTTGTTATTAGTGGTGGTATTGATACTGAGAATGGTTCAGCAATTGTTATAACACATATTGATTATTGTTCGGATTTATCATTAGATAATGGACGAACTCATCTTCAACTTTTTGATCGTATACTTTCAATTAATAATATTGATTTAACTCTAGTAACTCATGATGATGCTGTTCAAACATTTTCTTTATTTCAAGGTCAACCTATTGTATTACACATTCGTCGTTTAAATCCTGTAAATATCGAACATATTGATATAATATTACCATTTGATATTTCAAATCAATCTCTTGGTATTACAATTACAGGAGGAATCGATAATAATATTGAAGATCCTGGCTTATTTATTACTCAAATTGATCCAAATGGTTTATTAGCATCGATAACAAAGAATAATCAACTTCAAATTGGTGATCGTCTTTTAGAAATTAAAACGAATTATACAAGCGCTAATTTACAATGGGTAACACATTCAATGGGTGTTCAATTAATTCGACGTATATGTCAAGATAATAAACGTGTTACACTTGTTGTAGCTCATCGAACTACGAATTTTTAAAACATTTACTTTTTTTGTTATATATGTATTTCAATAATTATATCTAAGAAGACTACAGAGTCAGCTTTTTCATTGTGAACATGTATGTCTTTTAAATATATGATTATAAACCACAATGATTTCCATAGCATAATTTCAAGATATTTATGTCTTTATATTTCAAAGAAAAAAGAGAAAATATCATAAATGACAAACCTCAAAGGGTGAAAACACGATAGTCGATATTCTGATCCATTTGACTGAATCAATCCTGTTTGAATTGAAGAAACTAATATTATTGGGAGATTATATTAACCCTGCACAACGCATATCTAGGAGTGTAAAAATGGAGTCATAAGTGCTCTGGGGTTCGTTAGGATCCCAGGTGGTAGCATGAGGGTTAAAATTCAAGTGGCACATTCATTCGTTCATTTAATGAAAATCATTCGATGGATGCACATCGATTTCTAGAGCATTATGAATTAAGTTCTAAGTCAATTATGAGTAACTATTTGTTTATAATGGATTTCAGTTAACTCTAAACTGACATAATATTATAAGAAACTCTTGGAAAAATATTGTTCTTAAGAATTTCGTTTAATAGCGCAATGGTTGTTAACTAGTTCGATATATTATTTTGTTTTATTTTATTTCAATAATATCCACGACCAAACAAAAAATCAAGTACAAAAGATTATGTATTTTTTTTTTGTTTAACAAATTTTTAATAAATGTTTCATGTTGAAGATGATTTACATAAATCGTAAAAAATCGATGCTTCCATTTTTTTGAGAAAGAAATCAGGTTGATTTTCAGCGTAACGCATAAGGAAGAACAGAGGAACTTTGACCATGATTGCCTGGATCTGAAATGATTTATATTCACCGAAAGGGTTATCGTCGAATTCCACACAATAATTAGCAAAAATGTAAAGAAGAAAATATGGAACTGTTGAAGCCTCGATTAACCACTTGTGAAAATTCGTTGATGTTATATATTCGTCGTTATTCATCAATCCGAACCATTTATACAAAAAAGCAAATAAGGTATAAACGAATGTTAATATTATTTCTTCTTTCAATAAAATAATTCCAAGTGCATCTCTTTCCTCTTGTTCATATAATCGCAATTGAATAGTTTCACCGATAAGACGGTAATAATTGCAAAAACGGGGAGACAACAAAAGTAAAATTAGACAATTAAATAATAAACAAGAATAGATGCAGAAGAAAATAAGTTCAACGAACAATGTAACTATTAAATGAATAATATATGGGTAATGTTGTATGTGAATAATACATGAAAGCTGTTGATCTTCGATTGATGATAATAGAAAGGTTTTATTTGTAAACAGCATTGATCAAACTTATTAACAGAATAATTTAATTTATATAAGGTATAGAAGATGCGCAATCCCTTCTTATTTAATCTTCAATGTCGTCTGACAGAATATATCGTTTTATATATGACCAACATGTTTATCGTCCGTCGATTATGTTCGATGTTGTTTTCTCTCCGCCTATCAGATGATAGTCTGGAAGCAGTCGTCATATAAGAAATAATAAGTCAATATATTCGTTCAATACTTTCGATAATAGGACAGAACGAAAATGTCTCTAAAAATGATATCACTTTGTTTTTCCTTCACTTCTCAAAAACGTTGTTCTATCTTTTTCTACTTCTTATTTCAATGAAAACTCATCGAAAGTCGTGGGTGTGGGTGTGAGTATTTGTATTCTTCTCATTCATTACCTACATCCACACCCACCTTAAGGAATCGATAAAATCCTGAAGGAACAGTGTGGATCATGAATGAGAAGAATACAAATACCCACACCACACCACTTGGTCCTCTTCCTGGGCGAATCAGCTCCAGAAATACTCGAATCAAACCCTAACATATCCTACGTATCTGATGGCTAATGAGAGTTCATTGTTGATGATAGTTTAATATTGTAGTTCCAGATTTAAAAACTGAATTTAAAATCTTTAGGGTGTAGGTGTAAGGGTGATTACCTTTATTTGAAATCCATATTTACACCCCCAAGATGGCATCAAATCGAATGCTTTCACATCATTACTTGAAAGATTCGTTTATTATGTTTTGTCTTTCCCATCTTTCTGTTCATGTCATGGAAAAAAAGTAATTAAATCGTCGTCTAATCTCAAAACTGATTTCTTGGATGCCATTTTTAAAATACTCTAAATTAACATACCGAGGGAAACTTTATCAATGATGTATCACTATAAATATTCAAACCACAAATATGTATTGAGAATACGTGGTAATTCTTTGGTTTTAAGAAGAAAATGGAAGGGTGAAGTGCCTTGGAACGATTCACCATCGCGTGGTGAGTAGTATGAAGAACTTTTTGGAACTTCAAATATATATATAAAATTGATTGGAAATGTTTTGAGTACTTTCTTCAGCATACTTCTAACAATCTCATAGATATTTGTTACATCGAGAGAATATGTGCTTATTTGAATACTAATCGATGAAAGGAAATTGTTTATCTCATGCCAAGTTTAGAGAAATTTCAGTCTCCATCTTGGAATAAACAAAAATGGGTTATCAATCATCGTCATACTAGATCGAGCCACTCATTTATCATCCACTCACAAGCTCCGTTTATTCACATATTTACTGACCGATCGAAAACATTTCTATTTCCATATCATTCAACTTTGAACTAACATCTTGCGACGGCGCACAGATTAATTTTCTCGTCCATAGTGTTGCTTGATTCAGTCGTATAGAAAAAAATGCTTCTCTTTTAACGTAATATTATAAATTCATCACCATCATTGAAAATAATCACTTAGTTGAATAGCTGAAAGTGAAGATGAAAAGGTAAGTTTAAAAAAAATAAAATACATTCTCTTTTAAATGAATATTTCAAGAGTCAACTCCAATCACTGCTTGAATGCACCTAAACGAAATTCGAAAACTGTGTTTTGCCATCGTCTAGCAACGCATTTTGAAGATCTGTCAAATGAACTTTTACTCGATATTTTCGATTTTCTTGATGGTTATCATATATTCGAAGCTTTTTCTAATCTTAATAACCGTATCCAACATCTCGTTACTAGTTCTTATTTCCTTCTCAAATTAAATATTTCATTTATGTCTAAATCGAATTTTAACAGACGTTCGATCAATATTATCCGTCCATATATGAATCGAATTATTTCATTACAATTATCAGAGACATTTTTCATCAAAAATTTCTTTACATCATTTCCTGTTGACACATCATTCAATCGTCTCGAATCATTGATACTCAATCATCTTAATATAGATCATAGTGGTCCTATTCTTATTAGTTTAGCCCAATTACCTCGACTCTTCTCTTTCACAATCTTTTGTTACGAATGTAATGAACTATTTATTATTTTTCAATCAATATTTCGTCTACCTGTTTTACGATATGCCCAAATTTTGTGTTCGAACTGGGGTTCTAGATTTCTGTTTCCCCTGGCTACGAGCGACAGTCAACGAAGTATGACTCTTGAGTATCTCGCCTTTGATAGTCCATGTCATCTTCCACGTATTTACAATCTTCTGTCATATACACCTCGACTTCGTCGTTTGTCAGTTGAGAATACATTGTTCAGTGATTACATACCACTAGAACAATTTATACTGCCACGCAATCTAACTAGTATTTCTTTAAGTTATTGAACTTTATCATTTGATGAATTCGCATCATTCATTGCAATCGTTGGTTCTGAACTTGAATTCTTACGCATTTCAATTAATGATAAAACTGCCCTATCCAATGCTTATCAGTGGCAACAATTAATTTTACGTCATATACCACGGTTGCGTACGTTTCTCTTTGATTACCATGGTCCATTAATTAAAGATGCTGATGGAAATAGTCGCTGTCGAACATTACTTGATGAATTTTCTTCGCCATTTTGGATCGAACGACAATTGTTTTTTGCCCATAGCCATTATTATCAGTTTTCTCAAGAAGTACATTTAGCATTCTATTCAACTCAAATGCGCCGGTATAATCAATGAAAGAAAACACTTATTGTTGTGAGCTAATGATTCTTTTCTTTTAGGCGATACTGTTGTCAAATTGATGGACCTTTAGATAATAACATATGTTTGTACCAAGATCCAGTCTTCTATCTATCTTCTGGGCCAGGCATTAGTATGAAAAATCGAAATATTGTTGCCAATTTTCCCTTTCAATTTCCTTATGTAACTGCATTGGAACTTATAGATAATTATTATACGATCAATATTGACTCATTCATTGATAATCTAAGTCATATTATAATTTTGACAAATATTACTTATTTAAAGATTCCATTTAACAATCAATTATTGAACAATTTTGTGAAACTTCTTAATCGTATGCCTAATGTTCAAAAACTGATTCTTGACGTACGACCATCATCTGAAATGGAAGTATCATCAGATCAACAAACTAATACAGCTGATTTGGTATGCAATAATAATGTGCAAAATGTAATAATAACTGATAAACTTGCACTTACCACTGTTCAACTAATCAATAAGCTTTTTCCTCGAATGGAATGTCTTGAAATTCAGAGCAGAGGGGATGCTCTCATATCATTTGTACAAACTTTGTTGTCAAACAGAATTAGTAACAATCATCTTTTCTCACTGATGTTTTATGGTGATAATGCAATGATCAATCAATTGATAACAATGATCGATAATGAAAAATTACTTGATAATTATAATATTGAACGTCGATGGCTTGAACTATGCTTATGGTGGTAAAAAAATTTATTTTGTTCTTACACTGTCTATAGCTATTTAAGTACAAACTAGTTCAAATAAGATTGTATATGCAAATAAATGTATAATTACCATATACAAATCATAGAGTGCAAATCACAATAGATTCCGCGAGTGAGCAATACGACTAAGAGAAAATAAGCGATACTTCAAATTCCGAGTAAAGTAAACGAAGTCTCGCTTTTGTTCTCTTGGATTTATGCATTTTTATGTAAAACGAATGATATTCACATTGAGTAAATATAAAAAAATCATTATTTCATAATATTTTGCATAGACGTTAGCTACTACGTAAGATAATTTGGGTAAATGTTTGACTAAATATAAAGTATCTGGTTCATTTAAATTTCTGTATAATATATTAAATTAGATAGATCAGATATTAATATTTCTTTCAATGCATCTGATGTTTTATACTTGATAAATTGATCATACTTTGAAGATATTTTTGTATGTGAATATTTTGTTCTAATATACGTGTCAAGAAACAGATTTGGGTATCCGAGTGTTAATGAATTCATATTAGGGAACTACTATTGACTCTGTTCTGTTAACACATGATGATCGATTGAACCATTATTACATCTGATATTATGTGATAGAAATTCAGATATCTCAAATGGATATGGTATAGTATAAATTGCTGTTGAATGAATCGATATGATATATACTCCGTATACCAATGATGTCTGTTACACCAAAAACGTTTTTTGAAATTTTCTGAAGATCTTTGCATTAATATTTTTTGTTGAACTATGGAATGGAAATTTGAATGAAGATTTCGATATGACTTTTGTTATATCATAGTTTCTTATCTTGATTCTCTGTTTAGAAAAGATGTAGATGCGAATACAGTATGGATATATCAGGATACATTCTTTGTACTCACAATCTAAAAATGACTAAAACTGAATGAAGAATTATTTTATTGATTCGTCATTCAGCAGTAAAATCGTCCATCAGGTGTTTTTGTTGATTAACGAGATTCGATTTACGTATTTATTTTAACAAATTACGCATCAGAACAGATATTTACGAATAAATCAAACTTAATTTAATTATTAATAAAAATTCATTTCGAATTCTTATATTTACTTCTTTTTAAAATAAAATAAGCAAAAATACTTTCATAAAAAGTTTAACTGTTCGTTTTATCATCAATTTCAAATTTTTGTATTCGATGATTATGACAATCAACAACATAAAGATTACCTCCAATATCGAATGATAAATCTGCGGGATATTTGAACTGATTTGATTGTTCTCCTCTTCCATTTCCACCAACAACAATACTACCTTCCTTAGAGCCTTCACACCAACGCATTATTCGCTCATTCGACATATCAGCCACATAAACATTACCCAAATGATCGACAATCACTCCTCGAGGATTAGACAATTGTGTCAAACTATTCCCCTTACCTTTTCCACCAGCAACAACAATACCTTCTTTTGCACCTTTCATCCATTTCATCACACGATGATTCCTCCAATCCGACACATAAACTGAATGATGTTCATCAACGCAGATATGAGTAGGATGATTGAGTTGATTGAGAAGATTTCCTTCTCCTTTCCCACCTGCTACTATTGTTCCTTCTGTCTCTCCTTGTTTCCATCGTCTCACTTCATGCTTCTTCCAATCAGAGACATAAAGATCTTCATTTTTGTCCATTATTAATCCCCAACAATCAATGTTAGAAATGATTGTTTCTCCATTTGTACCATCTTGACGAGACCATCGTACCACGCGTCGGTTCAGTCGATCACAAATGATGAGAGAATCATTCTTTTTATCAACAATCACATTTGCTGGTTCATTCAATTGGTCACTTCCATTTCCATGCCCATTTCCACCTGCAACGACTTGATCATTCTTTGCTCCATATTTCCATTCAACAATACGATCATTCCCAGAATCAGCAATATAAATAGTTTGATCATCGTCATCAACATAGATACCTTGAGGTTGAAAGAGTTGATTTAATTGATTACCATGTCCATTTCCTCCAGCCATAGTAATTCCGTGTCGTCTCCATTTAGTGTTGATATTAATATGATTGAGAAGAATTGATTGTCCTAAAAGAAAAATAAATCTTAAATATTTGAATGAAGTTGATGAATAAATGTAATAAAATAAAAATGATAGTTTGTATAAAAATGAATGTTGAGAGTTTGTTTTGTTGAATTAGTATGTTGAGAGGGTGATAATAAAACAAAGTAAAAATGATTTGAATTAATTTAATTTAAAACTTATTTAATAAAATTGTTTTTGTATTTGTGAAGTAAAACGTGAAAAATATTTAATTGTTTTTATCTTTGAAAACTATTTCACAAACAAGTTTCTTGTTCTATAAACTCCTGATAAACAAAACCAAATTCTACAAACATTTTAATAAGAACTCTTCAAGAACATTGTCACAATTTTCGTTTTTTGTTTAACAAAGATTCTTAAGAATGAAAAATGAAAGAGACATAAATTAGACTTGAATAGAATTCTTCTTATTTTAACCAAAAAGAAATAAAATTAATTTGCAAATATAGAAGATTGATAAATTCTATAGATAAATGAGAACGAAGTTGAAGATATTTATCTATGAGAATAAAAACAGCACATAAAGTGATATTGTGATGATTTTTTAAATAGATGTTAAAGTATCAAGAACTAATCTCACTCGCATCGAAATCAATAAAATGGATGAGACAAGAATTGTCAACATTATTTATAATGATATAGAATTATTTTAACTTTGTTTTCTTGAAATAATCCTTACAAATATGTCGAATTAATTTTAAAAAAATCTAATAGAACCAAATAGAACAGTAAAGCTATACTAAAAAGCTTTTTTTAAATGACTTTGCGGACACGCTGTATTTTCTATATTTATAGCGATTCAAAATTATTTCAGACTTACCAATTGGAAATTGTTGATTCAAATAAACTTTCCGTCGAAGCGAAGATACTCGAAATGGACATTGATCATTATTTGTTTCATTCATCATACCATTACAGACACCATACATTATTTCACCAATAGTTAAATTCGGTTGATCAATATGTTGAAGAAGATGAGATGTAAATAAACCATTTCGACCATTTTTTGATTTATCTAATGCAACTTTATTTGCTGTCATTGCAAAACCAATAAATGAATGACCAATCGGTCGCATATTTGAAAGACCATTAAAATTTGATGATTCGCATACAAAACTATTTCGATAACAATCAAGAAGAAATATAGCTGCTGATGGACGACGATTGATAATCTTTTCAAGCGTAACTTGAGCATTTATTGCTCGATATTCCAGATCAGTATTTGTTTTAATTCGATCGTCATCAATGGGCATAAGAAAATTTAGATGACTCCATTGACATCCGTGACCGGCAAAAAAGAAAAGAACAAGATCACCTGGATTTATCTTATCGTTAAACGTTTCGATAATTCTATCCATCTGTTCATATGTCAAATTAGTACCAATTGTGATTTCAAAGTCAATTTTATATAATTTGTTAGCAAGATCTTCAGCATCATTGATACAATATTGAAGTTGACTATTTTTCTTGTATTTATTGTTGCCAATGAGAAGAGCTCGTTTTGTATGAATTGAGTTATTTGATGTTGAAAATCCGGGAACCGTAATCTATATATATAAATTTACAGCGATTCGTTAAATTTTTATAAAAAAAACGGACGAGACTAGAAGTACTGTCTGTTGAGACTTCTGTTTGAATCTACAGAGCTTGTGAAAACTGCTGTTTTTACATTGTACAGACTGGTGTATTTGATTAGAATTTAATTAATGACACATTGTTACAAAAAAGATACGTTTAAAAGAGCTTTCGATATGGATACGAATAATAAAATGTTCGTAGCCAAACGTCCTTTAAATAGCTTATCAAGCTACAACGAAATACTTTCGTGAGTAACACTACTCTTATTTTCAGTGATTTAATCATGCAACATAAAGAAGAGTAAGAGTGAAGGTGAAGCAAAGATAAAAACTAGAATTCTATCCTATCCAAGGTCCAGTGGAGAACTTGGCTGACTACACAAACTACAAATGTGTTCGAATACAATTTCATATGATATCTACTAATTCTCAATGTAAGGCTCACGAAGAAGACATCATAATGAATTTAAATCCGGTGTACCTATTTTTGATGAGCAGAAAAGCAAGAAATAATGAATCTAAATATATTGCCGTATAATGACATTCTCAGCTTTTAATTATCATCTTTTTCGCAGTTTTATAGCTCCCGTATAGAGTCGAATTTCGAAAGACAGATTTCATATGTACAGTTGTCACCTTCTTTCGATCTCAGCAAACTTTTTCCTAATTTAACATGATTGTATAACACATCAGTCAAAAATTTCAACTCAATGTCATCAATACTCTTTCAGCGAAGATCCATTTTAGTGATTATCTCCTGACAAAGGTAAAAAACTGTGCAAAGGAATTTGAAAAAAACGACCTACTTTATCATTTCGTATTTGAATTGCTGCACTCACAGTTGTATAATAGCTACCAGAATTTCCTTCTAGGTTCAATTTAATAAGTGTCTATGTTAAAGAATAACGATACTTAAGATAAATGAGAAGTGTTGAAGGTTTACTTTGTTTTCTTTTAAGGCATCATCAAGGCATTGCAATCCATTGTTACTGATTTGATTGTAGGAGAGTTCGAGAATGGTGAGTACCTATGAAATAAAAATAAAAATAATTATGATATCAAGTGTGAGTGAGCTATCACTTTGTTGTCTTTTAATGCATTAGCTAGATATTTTATTCCAGTGTCACTAATTTTATTTTCCCGAAGGTTCATGTAAGTGATTGTCTATTTCACAGCAAAAAATATAATCATTAATTATATTAGATAACAAAAGATCTTACTTTGTTGTTGTATAATTCATTTGCTAATAATTTTATTTCATTGTCTCCATACTGGTGCCATCGAAGATCTATACTGGTGAGTGTCTGTTAGAAAAAAAAGTAAAACATTAAGTAGAAAGTCGATCAATCGTAAAAGACCTTATCGTTCCGAATTCCAATTGCTATTCCAATAGCTTCACAATATTTACTCTTGTTATAATCTAGTCTCACCTTCATTATTGTCTGTAGGATAAATAAAACTAGTTAAAACGAAGACATCATCTCACAAACGAACTTTGTTGGTTTCCAATGAATTAAATAGTTCCTGTGCCCCAATATCTTCAATTGCATTGTTCGAAAGATCTAGTGTAACTAGTGTCTATTCAAAAACAACAATATCAACAATAATAATCAAATAAGGAAAAAAAACATTTTACAGTATTGTTTCGTAGCATATCAGCTAAATATTGTACTCCGATATCGCTTATTTCATTACGCGATAGATTCAATTCCGTGATTGTCTATGTCACAATCAAAACTCTAAATGATACTTAAATAAATTGAGATAATAAATTACTGCGTTATTTTGTAATGCATTAGCTAAATATTGAGTTCCAGTGTCTTCAATATGATTCTCCGAAAGATTTATCATAGTCATCATCTGTGTCAAATGAAAAAATATTCATTAGGATAGGAAAATTTTAAAATAAAATTCACCTGGTTTGTTTGTAATAGACCATTTAAGTATTTTGCTCCAATATATCCTATTTGATTCCTCAAGAGATTTAGTATCGTTAATGTCTGTGAGAAAATATAAACTTCACTATGACGAAAATGTACGCAAATTAATAATCACTTTGTTGTTTTGTAATGCATCAGCTAAATATTGAATTCCAATGTCACTTATTTTATTTTGCTCAAGATTCAATTCAGTGATTGTCTATAACACAATGAAACTATGATCATCAATGTAACAAATAGAGAAATGATACTACTTCATTGTTGTATAGTGCATCAGTCAAAAACTTCATCCCAATGTCATCAATACTCTTCCAGGAAAGATCGATTTTAGTGATTGTCTTCAAAAAAAAGTAAAAAGTTATGAGAAGAAATCTAGAAGAAATGAATTACTTTATTATTTCGTATTTGAATTGCTGCGCTCACAGTTGTACAGTACCTACCAGGATTTTCTTCGAGGTTCAGTTTAATAAGTGTCTATAAGAAACAATGACGATATTTAAGAGAAATAAGAAGTGTTGAAGGTTTACTTTGTTTTCTTTGAAGGCATCATAAAGATATTGTATTCCATTGTTACCGATTTCATTGTGGGAAAGGTTAAGAGTAGTGAGTACCTATGAACGAAATATAGAAATGATTATGAAATCAAATGTGAGTCAGATATCACTTTGTTGTTTTTTAATGCATCAGCTAAATATAGAATTCCTGTGTC